TAGGATGAGCAAAATCGAATGAATCTGGCGCTATAGCGTGGGAATATACACTGCCTTACTTGTTTTTGTGTGAGTGTGTGTGTGTGTGTGTGTGTGTGTGTGTGAGAGAGAGAGAGAGAGGGGCGGCGAGGTTGCCGTCTCTGTCTCTCTCTCTCTCTCTGTCTCTCTCTCTCTCTCTCTCTCTCTCTCTCTCTCTCTCTCTCTCTCTCTCTCTCTCTCTCTCGTCGCGGCTGGCCTCATGGTACTGCGCCCTTGCTAGGATGACCAAATCGAATGAATCTGGCGCTATAGCGTGGGAATATACACTGCCATACTTGTTTTTGTGTGAGTGTGTGTGTGTGTGTGTGTGTGTGTGAGAGAGAGAGAGAGAGGGCCGGCGGGTTCGCCGCGACCCTCAGTGCAGGTTGCCGCGTCTCTCTCTCTCTCTCTCTCTCGCGCGCGCGCGCGCGAGCGCGCGCGCCCGCGCGTGTGCGCGTCGCGGCTGGCCTCTTGGTACTGCGCCCTCCATAGGATGAGCAAAATCGAATGAATCTGGTGCTATAGCGTGGGAATATACACTGCCATACTTTTTTTCGTTTTTTTTTCTTTTTTTTTTTCTTTTTTTTTTTTCCGTTTTTTTCGTTCGTCTCAGTCCGACGTTCGGGATGCCTGCGCCCGGTAGTCCGAGCCTCGGCACGGATCGACGTACTGGTCGGCCGAGGCTCGGACTCGATAGCTGGGCCAGGTACTGGTGGTTTAAGGAAGAAGGATAAATAGGGTGGGTGGAACCTTCCACAACCTGCTCACTTAATCCTCTGGACTCCAGAGCAATCAATGCTGGCAGGTCTTTTCAGTCATTTTTCTGTTCAAGGATAAGGGGAGGGAGGGACTGAAAAAAAAGAGGTGGAAAGCTGGCGCCTGGGGCAAGGGTGAAGAGGTTCTCTCCCTTTTCTCAAAAACCTGCACAGTTAATCCTCTGGACACCAGAGTAATCAATGCTGGCAGTTCCCTCAGTCAAACAACTGTTTACTTTTCTCAAAACCTGCACAGTTAATCCGCTGGATACCAGAGTAATCAATGCTGGCAGGTCCCTCAGTCAAACTTCTCTTATATTCATGTTGTATATGGGACGATGGACCCGTTTTCGAGCAGGTGACGCTCCCCACCAATAGATGGAGCCTCCTCCCGGGTGCTAGTGGTGTCTGCTCTTATCAGCACCACTAACACTGCAGGGGTTGTGTTTCAAAAAAAAAAAAAAAAAAAAAAAAAAAAAGTAATAGAAGATTTGTTAATATTCTAATACAATTGTGGTTCAGGGTCATGTGCTGGATCAAGAGCATGAGTGGCAGAGACTGCCGTGTGTGGTGTTGTGTGTTGTGCGTGAGTGAGTACAGACACTGCGGCCATGGAGGGGTCGGATATCATGACCGGTATTGTTCCACCCTTGAACAAGGTGTTATGGCTGCAGTGCTTACAATGCTTGGCTCTTGAGGCCAAGGGTGCCAATTCGAGTCCGTGTTCTGTCATGTGGAGGGATCCGAGGCTGTGGAAGTATTGAATACAATTGTGTAGCCTTTCAGTACTATATGATTTCAGCTATTAGAAAGGATCAAAGTTCATCAAACAAATATTATACTATTATAAACCTTATATACAGAAGAAATGGACTTTCAGCAACATAGGACTTCTCGTCTCCTGACAACAAAACAAGCTCAGACTTGCATCAAACTATTCAAGTTGAAAATACATCGTGTAAATTATTTGGATACATTTTGGATAAGATCTGGATACGATTTGGATAAGATTATAATGTTCTGGATCAGATGGTTCGGCATAGATGGAACTTCATGAAAGGCAATTTGGGCATGAAAATGAAGACAAAAAATAAAAAGCAAAATATTAGAAAAACAGGATCGTATTCATCACACCAACCTTGTGCGATTTGTTGGATTGGCTGCAATATTGGACAATATGCCGCTAGTGCATTTCCGGATGCCTTCAGAGCTTCCTCGTTCTTGATTGAGCCGCAAAAGCACATACAGTGGGCGGTCCTTGGCGAGTTGAATCTTCATCATCGTTGGGAAATCTCGCAAAAGAAAACAATAAACTTTAATGCTATCAATGAATGGACTTTGTCTTCTCTTCTTCCTCTTTCCCTCGCGAAAAAAGAAAAACATGAAGCGTAGTATACCACCCATACCTTCAAGCCTATTTTTCCCTATAGAAGATTTGTACTGTGCGCCAAGTTCGAAACAAACGGGAGCAGTGCTCATTTTTTTCCTTTGTGGTTGGTGACGCCAGCCAAAGAGTTATGGGAGGATGAACACACGAGGAATGGGGAATGGAAAATTTTGTCGCAAAGGTCTGCTTAAGAAAGGTGGTGAGAAAAGAACAAAACTGCCGTTTTCCTTTGCGGCTGGTGCCGCCAGCCAACGAGGTATGGGAGGATGAACACCCGAAGAATGCGGGATGGAAAATTTTGTCGCAAACGTTTGCTTGTGAAAGGTGGTGAGAAAAGAAGAAAACTGCCATTTCTTTAAAATAGGAAAATCTTTTAGTTGCAAGAAATTGAGTTTAATTGGCAATTAAACTTTGAGGCAAGAGTGGGCCGGCAACCGGCCGGTTCAGCTCGCCCGGGGGCAACCGGGGCCAGAGAAAATGGCCAAATGGTTTTCATTTTTTCCTTTTTCTTTTTCTGCGGATTTTGACTGCGCTTTTTTAGATCTGTCCAAATCCGCAAACTTGCACAAAGGCACAATTTTTGTTTGGGGGGTGTCCCAGGGTGGGAGGGAAGTGTTACTGAGCTGCGTTCAAAGATATGGCTTTCACGTGTAGGGGTGAAGTAAAAAAGCTTACTTATCTGACCCCCACATGTCCCAAAATTGCAATTCAGTACCACAGGGAGTCATGGACTATATCATGCCTTATTGACACAAAGCCCTGGAGGCTGAACGAGATATGCTGATGGAAGGTCCTTGCCAAAACTTATAGCTCTTGCATAGTATAGCGCTCCACAACAAAAAGTTATGCCTTCGGTTTCAGCTTTTGCAGGCAGAGTGTTTTCTGTTTGTTTTTTTTTCAATGTACGGTGGTTCATCAGTCTGAAGTATCTTGCCTGGCAGTCTGTCCAGATACTTGTGGTGGAGCGAGGTCCATTCTCAGGCTTGCACCTCGGACAGCATGACTACTCTGACTGCATGAAACCCGAACACAACTTTTTCCCAGAGCACAGGGACGTTGAAGAAACCTATCATCTCAGCAAGCCACTCCCGGAACATATTATGGGTTTTGTCCTCCTGGCTCAGAGTGGACGAGCATAAGGAGGCAGACTGCGGCGAACAGACTGAGCAACGAGTAGCGAGACCAGCGTTAGGCAAGCACAGGATAGCACATGGGTATGGAGGTGAAGAAGATGAGCGGAAAATCAGGAAACCAAAAACCAGAGACACAAGTATTCCCAAAATGTCTGCGGACATATGAGATATAGCATTACGCAAAACAACGAAAAACACACGTATGTCCCTTGCTCTTCCCCCACACGGACCACACCTCTTTTCCGCTATCTACCCTCCCCTCGTCACTGCCCATAGCTAGCTCTCCTCGTATCGACATCAGCAGAGCAGCTTCCCTCTACGCGTTTCGTCCGCCTGCGCGACGAACTCCTCAGGAGGGCGAAACTCACTCCTGAGTTCTTTAGCCGATCGGAGAGACCTGCACCCTGTCTCTCTTGAGTCTTGACCCTTACACGTTCCCAACGTAGCGCACACGCTACAGGGAATCCTTGCCCGCTAGTCTGGTTCTGACAGTTCCCGTTGTCGCCGCTGCCCTTTCAAAGCCATTGTCTGATACTTCTTCGAAATTATCAAGAAGAATTTTCATTCGAACGAATATGAGCTCTCCCCCGGTACAGGGGCCGTGAGGGGGACCACGGAACAAGTGTGAAGGCGGATGGCGACAACAGTGGACAACTGATGACAACAGATTCAGACTACCGACGTGAATGAACCATCCTGAGATGGTACAGCACATACACAAAATGGAATAGTGGGGTACTATGAGAAGGGCCAACAACTATAGAAGTAGCTAGCCTGCCCATGTCAATAACTTCAATTTCGACTAGCAGGAGGTGACAGTGAGGCTATAATTTTTTTGAGGGAGGGGAATGTTTCTGAGGGAGGAGGCTTGCTCTCCACTCAAGGGATCTACATGCACAGCCTCATCAGACAAACAGTACACAGAACAACATAAGCCAAGCATGCAACTCGTTTTTGTAAAAAAAAAAAAAAAAAAAATTCTCCCGCTGAAGCCCGCGTTGTCGTTGATTTCCCTGCCAGGAAGAGCTTAGAAGAAGGAAAAAGAACGAGAAAGAAAAGCAAAGAAAGAGAGAAAACCGAAAATCGTGCCGTTATTCCGTCATTCCACTCTTGATACGTCCGTGATCTCCACAACATCCCGTTCCTCGTCCTCGTTTCTCCAAGAAAGCTTTCAACTGAACCTTCCTTTCTCCTACTGGTATCAACTACCCCGAGACCGCCTTGCCATCCATATGTTCAAACCCCACTCCATCGGTGACCCCTTGATCTTCATATCCCGTCCGGGTACATCACCAAGACATATACTTCAGGCATCTTACTTCCAGCCCCTCTCCGATCATTTTGTCACGATCCCCTGTAACGGTTCCTCCCACCGAAGGGTCACACCCAATTCCTGATTCCAAAATCCGGGTAGCAGTCTCATGTCGACACCAGCAGAAGCAGTCATTAGAGAAACGTCGTTTCCTCACGGGTACGGATGATACATCAGCCAGGGAAACGACAAAACCAGAACACGAAACGAAACTCCGTCTGCCAAGAAACGGCAAACAGAGGAATAGGAAGAGAATAAAAGAAAGTACAGATAATAAAGAACAAGAAGAGAAAAGAAAGAAAAGAAAGAAAAGAAAGAAAGAAAGAAGGGAAAAATTTTGAAATGCCACTCCGAAATCCATTTATTTGCGACATGCGCCCGCAATGGCCGACTTACCCTCTCGTGCCCCTCTGCAACTTTTCAAGTTTCCGGAAAACCCCCGGGTTCGTCTGGGCCTGAAATATGTTCCGTATGCCCCTACCGGTACCGGTTCCAAATTTCCGGTATGCCCCTACTGGATACCCGTTGACTCGTTGAGTAATAGGCCAAAACAAATCCATATGCCCTACCGCTACCTTCTCTCTCTCTCTCTCTCTCTCTCTCTCTCTCTCTCTCTCTCTC